CTCCATCCTACACTACGCCATTTTCAGTGGGAGTAGTCTTTGAATCCTTCCTTGGGCGTGAACACCTCCATTGAGAGATAATATTTCTTTGTATCAGGTATAATCCTCTCCTACTGCTTTTTGTTCAGATCTGGTTCAGTTTATGGTTCAAGATTAATCCTTGAAAATATGATTTTCTAAAATAGGGAATGCGATTCCTAGTTGAAGGGAGAGAAATTTTTTTTTGAAATTCGCCCACCTTATTCTACAAGATTTGGGCGTCCATACGATGGATCTCTCATCCCTTCACCCTATTCCTCTACGTGTGTTTGGATGTCATTGTTTCATCAAAGATCTATCCCCCACTCGTGGTAAACTTGACCCTCATACTATTCCATGTGTTTTCCTAGGGTATCCTTCTTCTTAAAGGGTTATTAGTGCTTTGATCCTATCTCCAAGAAATACTATGTTTCTATGGATAAGTCCTTTCTTGAGAGTGACCCTTACTTCTTCGTTTCTCCTTATGGGGAGTGTAGTAGGGTTAAGGAGAAACGTGCTTAAGTTCACCTCTCTTCCATTCCAAACCCTCCTTAGTTTTGTGTTTTCTTTTTTTGACACAAGGGCCACTTGAGTTCAAGAGATGTAGAGAATTAGGATGCTATATCACCAATGCCATTGGATTCTAGAGGATAGATTCTACCTAGCTAGGTAATCTTATTAACATTGGCATTGATACTTTAGTTGTTAATGACTTAAATCTTCCTATTTCTCGAAGGAAAGGTGTTAGGTCTTGCACTACTAAACATCCTATTTCCCATTTTGTCTCTTATGAGAACATCTCACATTCTTTTTGTGCATTCCTGTCTTCCATTGACAGTGTCCTTATTACCAAAAATGTGGCAGAAGCCCTCTTAGTACCTGAATAGAAAAATGTAATGAAAGAGGAGATCAATGCATTACACAAAAATAGCACATGGGAATTGGTAGACCTTCCTAAAGGGAAAGAACTAGTAGGATGTAAGTTGGTTTTCATAGTAAAGCATAAAGCTGGTGGTACAATAGAAAGATATAAAACTTTGTTAGCAGAAAAATGATTTACTTAGGTGTATAGAGTGGATTATGTAAAATAATTTGCTTCAATGTTGAAGATGAACTCTATTAGAGTCCTTTTCTCCCTTGCTAGTAACCTTGATTGGGAGCTTCACAAGGTGGATACCAAAAGTGTCTTTCTCAGTGGTGATCTTGAAGAAGAGGTATGCATGGTACAACCTCTTGGTTTCTGTTCTCAAGGCAGTGAACAAAAAGTGAGTAGGCTGAAGAAGTCCTTATATGGCCTAAAGCAGTCACTGAAAAACTAGTTCACCAGGTTTCATTTAGTCGTACAATATATAGACTACAAGCAATGTTAGTATGATCATACCCTATTTTTTAAGAGAGGGGAAGGAACAATTGTAGCTTTAATAGTATACGTGGACGACATAGTGATCACTGGTGATTGGAAAAATGAAATTTATAGGAGATTCTTGCTACTCAATTTGAAGTGAAATATTTAGGCCCCTTTCGATATTTTCTTGGAATTGAAGTTGCTTGTTTATAGAAGGGGATCTTCATTTCTTTGAGGAAATACCTCATAGATTTGTCGCAAGATTCTAGTAAGTTAGGGATGAAACTAGTTGGCTCTCCTATTAATCTAAACCATAAGTTAAGTAATTGTCAAGGTGAAACCATCAAAGATGTGAAAAAATTTCAGAGACTTGTGGGAAGACTTTTGTATCTATCCATGACGCCTATATATTGATTATGTTGTAAGGTTTCTTAGTTAATTCATGTGTGCTCCCAAGGATACTTACTTGGAAACAGCTGAGAGGATCCTCAAATATCTTAAGAAATTTCCATGTGCTAGTTTATTGTTCTACAAACATGGGCACTTGAAAGTTGAAGTATATGCATATGTTGATTGGGTTGATTCTGTTGATGGCAAAAAATCCACTAGTGGTTATTGTACCTTTGTGGGAGGGAACCTAGTTACATGGAGAAGCAAGAAGCAATGTTGTAGTTAGGTCTAGTGCTAAAGTTGAATGCTAGCAATGTCTCATGGAGTGACTGAGATCATGTGGATCAATAACTTATTGAGTGAATTGGGACTTATTGTGGATAATCCCATGTACTTATACTATGATAACTAGGCAACTATCAACATTGCAACCAATATTGTGCTTCATGATAGGACCAAGCATATTGAGGTGGATAAGCACTTTAATAGGGAGAAGCTTGTTAGCAGATAAGTATGTAAACCCTATGTCAGTTCTAAAGAGCAACTTGCAAACATTTTCACTAAAAGTTTACATCACTCGTGGCATAATGATTTGTGTGACAAATTAGTAATGATTAACATCTACGTTCCAACTTGAGGGAGAGTATATTGTTTATATTTAGTGTCATAAGGGCACAATTATAATTTCTCTCTTTTTATTCTTGGATTCCCTAGTATATAATCTAATGTTGGCATGGCCAATATATAATCTAAGTGTTGGAATGGTTCTCAGTCCTTTAAACATCAGAAGATCTCACCTCGGTCCTCATCCTCCATGCCTAAGAATACAAACCCAACTCAAGCTTTGAAGAGGGAGAAAACCTGAGGGGGGTGATGAAAGAAAGAAAAAACAAAGGAGAGATCCAAGAAGCATTCCCAACTCCCATAGGTGTCCTGTTCGCAAGAAAACCCCCAAGCATTTGAACCCGAAATTCCAAATTCTTTCTACTATGTTTCAGACTTGAAATTTGCACGAAACTTCCAAGCATTCAATAGTTTAAAACCTCTTTCAAGTTCATCCAACCACTCTTTTGTTCAATTCGACTACTAGAAAATTCCTATCAAGGTTGTACACAAGAGATAAGTCTCTCATTTTAACATTTGAACCTAAATTTGTAATATCTATTCTCAGTTTAGTTTTGGGTTGCTTAAAGTCACAAAACCATGGGAAATTAGCATTTCTAGTTTCCTCCAGATTGAGAAAAAGAGATAGAGAGGCAAGGGTCTTAGGGAAATCAATACCTAAGATTCGATAACATCACCTCAAATCAATTATGGGTGAAGTTGGGAGCATTTTTGCTTGATTTCAAGAGCTCTTAGCAACTATTTTCGGTGGTGTTCCGTTAAAAATTGAGCCTGAACAACTCCTGTATTGGGTTGTTATAGCAGCTTGGAGAGAGGGGTGCCTAACACCTTCCCTCTCCCAATCCTTCTGAATTTAGAATCTCTTGATTCAGTGTCATTCCCATGGAGAACAGATTTACTATCAAAGACCTAAATCGACTTTTCAAATCTAAAAATCAGGGCCCATTTCTTTGAACCGGCCATGAGTTTTCCAAATCTCAGATGAATTGATGCTAAAATCCCTTTATAAAGGCAAGTAGGAATGCCTCTAAAAGTCCACTTTAGAGGCTGATTTAACTGCCTCCAATTAATTTTGAGGCAACTTTTATGTGCCTCTAAAAGTAATATGATAAAATACCTATTTAATTTTTGGAGGCACTTTTGTCTGCCTCTAAAGATATGTTATTTTAAAAAAAAAACTATTTTTCATTATACAAAATACCTGTAATAACTTATATTGAACACTGAAACAAAAGATGTATAAAATATATCTAAACAACTTCATCCAAAATATACAACTTAACCATTGTTATGAATATTGTCCCATGATTATTAAAAAAAAATAATCAAAGAATACACCACTTGAGTTTCATATTCTTTCTAATAACAAAAAAAAAAAAACTCCACATTCAAGCCTCATTGTCTTTCTTTCTTGAGAACTTAAAAACAAAATAGAATCCAAAATAAAGTCCATCTTATAAAGACAAAATTGCTCCTTTTAGCCCTCATCCAATCCTCTCTTCCTCTCCTCTACAACCTGTAAAGAAAAGAAACACAAAAATAAATAAATGAAATATGCATAACAAAGAGGATTCTCACACTGCCTTAGAAAACATTCAAAACAGAAACTACATATCTTGAAAAAAAATTAAGATACACCATAACCATGAAGATGAATCATTGACTTCATGAGTTAAATCAAATCCAACTTCGCAAGGTACAAGGTGAACCCAACAAAATAGAATAGGATGCAAAGAATTTAGTGGCCTATCCAATGAAAACCTTGGAGTGCCAAATGAAGGTTCACTCATCGAGTTTAGCCACATACATACCTTGAATTGGGATTTTCTCGTATGAGTGACAATTACTTTGAAGTTTGAATGGTTTCCCCACCCCGTTGCCATCCCTACTATTTTGCAACTCTTCCTCCTCCATTCTAGCCATATACCATCTTTCAAATAGGCCTCTCTATATTGCCTTACCTCCCATTCACAATAATTAATAATTATTTAATAAGTAACAATAAAAATAATTAATAATTATTTAATTAAGTAATTAATGAATAATTAAATAATTATTTTATTATTAATTTACTTAATAAAAAAATGATAAAAATGTTAATTTATTAAAAATAATTATTAATACAAAATAAAATTATTAATTATTTTGTAATAAATATATATATAATAAAATATTAAGTAAAATCTAATATATTAATTCATAATTGATAATTAATTAATTAATCAATAAAATGTTAACCATTAAAAGAAGTTAATAACAAATATATAATAATAAAAAATATTATTAATTAATAATTATTATTAGGGTTGATTTTCCCACTAATTTTCCTTTTACGATCAAAATATACTTACTCCAAAAATTCCAATCCATTTTCGCTTTCTCATCCTGTTGCATCGTCCTTTATCCTTTCTCGTCCCTAAATTCTTCCCTAGCACTTCTTTTTTGAGCAAAATTGAGTAAAATATCAGTTAATTGGTTATAAATTTGTTGAATAGTATAGATTCACACTGACCTCACAACCTGTGCTGGCGTATATCGGAAACATTTTACATACTTGTATTTATTATTGATGAGAGATGAGGGCTGTGAGGTCGGTGTGAGACGCGCTCGGTAAGGAGCAGATCCCAATTCAAGGAATAAACGACATATATCAACGGCTCAGACTCTCCCACGACGTTATAGCCACGTCAAACTAATTTTCGACAGGGTCATCCTCATTCATCCGGATTAGGTTGCCACAGTTTTTAAACCCTAGTTCCTCTCTATAAATACTAAAAGATCCCCTCTGTTTTCATTCCTTCCAACCCTGCGAATATCGGAAGAAATCGGCGAAATTTCCTTGGCGTAATTTTGAATCGAAGATGAGAGCTAAGGTGAGAGTCCCTTTCTACTTGTGTGGTCTTCTTTCGTTCTTCAATTCTTCTTCTTGTCGATCTGGTTCTTCTTTGTTGTCTATATTTGTGTGCTATTTTGCTGGTTGGTTCGCCTTTCGTGGATGAAGGAAGATGATTAAGTTTTTAATTGGCTAGGTCTTCCTATTATAACTTCTCTGTAGACATTATGTTGGTTTTTCTTGAATGATTCGATATAGATGTGTTCGTTTGCATCTGTCTTTTGCAACCATCGCCGTTTTGTGGTTTGCCTTCATGGATGAGGAAAGTAAACTCAGTTTTTGGTCAAATGTTCTTTTTGTGTTGTAATTTCTCTATCTGTTAGGTTGGGTTTTTCTTTGATGTTTTGGCGTGAATTGATTGCGGTGAAATCTTCCCTTTTTAATTATTTTCATTAGGGTTTTATGATATTGTTGATTTGGTTGGTTTTAGACCCTTAAATACATTTGCAGGATGCCATAGTTAATTCTTGGCGTTCTATTTTTTTTGAGAAATTCTTTTTTCTTTTCTTTATTGCCGTTTTTTTTCTGTTGAACTCTTAAATCTATTCTGTTCTGCAGAAAGGATCTCTTAGAGTTTTGTCTACATCGTTTCTAATATACTTGTTTTCATCTTTCGTTTCGCCGGATCTGATACACTTCAAATATTATCCGTTGTTTATTTAATATCTAAGTGTATATTAGATTTGTATGGCTTATTTTTCTAAGCTTGTATAAGCTTTCTTCACTACCAAAAAAGTTTGTTTTTTTCTCATTTACCGTCTTTTTCATTAGAAATCTCAAATATATTTTGTGATGCAGAAAATAAATCTGGAGTTTTATTCGTGCCTGAGATTTGAAGTATTGTTTCGTCTTTAGTTCTGGTTTTCAATTTCAGTGTTTGGATCTGATGACAATTTTGTTGTATCCATTCTTTAGTGTAATCTTATTGTCCAATGATTTTGGCTAACTGATGAAGCGTTCGGATGCCATTGAACATGTCAATGTGAGCTTTATGATATATTTTTTATGTTTTTATTGTTCGCTGCTTCTCATAAACTTTACTACAATTGATACAGTATGAACATGTCAAGTGGGGGAATGAATCGAGATTCAATGGGGGGGGGGGAGGTATTGAGTGAATCATGTAAATGAAACCTCAATACTAATAATAGTACAGGAGGTGGTCTGATGAAGCGTTCGGATGCCATTGAACATTAATTCACAATGTGAGCTTTATGATACATTTTTGGGGTTTTTATTGTTCAGTGCTTCTCATAAACTTTACTACAATTGATACAGTTGGGACATGTCAAGTGGGAGAATGAATCGAGATTCAACGGGGGCGGCAGTGAGTGAATCATGTGAATAAAACCCCAAAACTAATAATAGTACAAGAGGTGGACTGAACTCCAAATTTATGATTGTGTTTTATGTTTTTATTCACATATCGCTTTCTCTCATAGTTTTTTCAACTATCAAATTTTTATTTGTCTTGCATATATTTGAAGGAATATTTTCATAAATCATGGCAATGGAATCTTATTCGTCTTCAATTTAAATTGATGGATGGATAAGATTATAATCGAGAGAAATAATGGGTTGTAGAATTTGGTTGACTATTCCGATTACGTTGAATGAGCTTTGGGTTCACCTACATATTGAGCCTGGATTTAGCAATTTTGCTGAAAGCAATGACTGTACCGGGTTGTGTAACCAATAATAACGTCTAGTACCCGCCATAAAGTGGAAAATTCTTATACCCCCCCATAGGCATTCGTTCTCTCATTTCAAGTTATTGGTTAGGCAGCCCGCTTCTCAGTCATTGCGGTTTCCAATATAATTGCAAGAAGCCGAGAACTATAATTTCTTACCTTGAAGTTTGCTTAACAAGGTTGTGGGTTTTTGCACTAGATGATTGTGGGGGTTGAACTGTTTTGGTGTTGGGGCTTTCTCGACGATGCTTTTGGATGTCATTAGTGTCAGCATTTAAGTTGCATATGTAACATTTCTCTGCCCATGAGAAAGATCGCTATTTTAGTTGCAATAACTTCCGTTGTGCTTCATGCAAGCTTACATTGTGAGAAAGATCGCTATTTTGTGTTGTTTCCAATGATATGAAAAATATTTGAGTATATGGACTTGTTATTAATAATAATAATTCTGAGAATTTATTGAATTTCATTAGTTTTCCAACCGTGCTAAATTTCAATTATATAATTGTTTGCAGTGGAAGAAGAAGCGTATGAGGAGGCTCAAGAGGAAGCGCCGAAAGATGAGGCAGAGATCTAAGTAGTCTACCAACGGTGTCAATTGATGGGATGATATTCTCTCCTGGAATGTATTCTACTTCAATCACCTTGAAGAAGGTTTCTGTTACAGGCGGCGACTATCTTATCCCGTCTTTTGCGGCTTTTCTAATGTTTCGCTTTTAGGTTTCCGAGTACTATCTTTAAGTTAGAGTTTTAATTTTGAGTATAAAACCTTGTTGGATAGCCTTCTTGCAACGTTGTTTTGTTATATCTGACTATATTTTAAAACCTGATTCAGAAAATTATTAGATCGTGGATTTGTCTTGTATTTCGTTTGCTGTTTTTAGGGGTCGTTTGGGACCATTTAATGTTCACTAAAGTTGTCTTACCACCGAAAATCAGGAACACCAGCCCTTGTTTATGCATCGTTCTGTTTTTCAAACAAAATCCCCATTTGGTGATTGTACCATTCACTTGGCATGGTGAAGATTTAAGAATTAGAATAATTAATGAGATATTCGTTTGTAGTTCAGTCTGCATTTAATCCGCCATTTGGGCAGTCAGGTCGATGTAATGTGCTGCAATTGGGATCAGTCGGATAACGTCTGATCTATGCTATCGTTTGTCTGTTCTTCATTCATTTCGATTCGAGTAATGAAGTCGTTTGTTCAGTAACACGTTTTATGCTCTCCCGTGATTTCAGGGTACCAATCAAACCCGTTCTCCACCAAATATTAGATAAAAGACTTGGTAAAACATTGTCTGCATTGGTATAATAATAGTTTTGAGCCGTTGTAATAGATTTTGAGATAGAGAATTTTGAGTGTCCGGTCTGCACTGACCATCACGTTCGTTTGATCAAGTAATAGCTCCACCGCGGCACTCTTCAGTCTTCACTATATATATCCCTGTTTGGATTCAAGTGCGGGTGAAGCATGATTTGATTCTTTTATATCCAAAACGAACGGGCACCTTAGGTTGTGTTTGGAAACAATGCAAATGGAGGGTAAATCCCAATTCAGGGTAAATTTACACTCTGGTTCACTTTTGCTTGTATTTGGCAATATTACATTTTTGCATTGACAAATGACAGACCAATGCATATTTGCATTCAAGTGCACTTTTAATAAAAAAATACATATGCTTTATTGGAATACCTTGCATCCATTACTGTTAAAAGTTTATTTGGTAAAAAAATAAATTTGTCAATGCAAAACTAATCCAATTTTGAAATTTATATGAATCGTTTTACACTCTATATACTTGCATTTGCACATATTTGCATTGTTTCCAAACGCAGCCTTAGGGTTTTTCATCCCTTCTTCAGCCGTGGTAGAGCTTTTCCAAGTTGTAGAACAAGTTGATATCTTCAGTTCTACATCCCTACTCAAACGTAGGTAAGTCTCATTACCACTTACCAATTTTCTCTCTTTGCCGTTCCATTCAGACTGAGGTAATGAAGAAGGGTTAGGGTTCCATGAATAGCTCTTCACCTTCCCATTCTTGAGTATGAATTGGTCCAAAGAGAGGTTAGGAGGGAACTCCAATAACATCCCCCTCATTGGGTTCTGGCCAAAAGATGGGAATGATGTCATGAGCCAATAGATGAAACCCAAAGCCATCTAAACTATTGCATTTGTGTTTCATGCCACTAGGGGTTCAGATATGAGAGGGGTGCTTCACCCCTTCCCTCTCAGGTTAGAATGATAGAATCTGGGTTTGAGCAGGCTAGGTACGTGGATGTTGAAGGCATTTTTTTAATTATAACTCAAATAAGTGGATTGACTAGTTTGCTAGCCAAATCATCAAAACTATAGAAAAGTATCTCGTATGGAAGTTCCCTCTCTTTAAGTGGGAGGGACAGCAAGGTAATCAGATTCAGATTTTCCCTCTTCAGGGAAAATTATCTCAAGAGATCCTTAAGAAAAGCAAAGATAAAGAGAGAAGAAAAGAGAAGTGCTCAAGGGAAGGCATGGAAGGAAAAGTCTCACTAAAACAGGTAGAAAAAGGAAAGTCCTCTCTGTGAATACTTCCTATTGCTATGTATCATTTTTTCTCTCTTTTATTTTCACTTTTGTGAAAGAAAATAAAGAGAAATAAACCATCTACAACCAGGTGCCTCTATTTGGTTGATTATGGTCCCTCTTTTGAGATAAAGTTAGAGATAAAAACCATCTACAGTCTAATTCTCAAGGGCTGTGTGGTACAAATAAGGTAGCCTTCTGTTGGGTTGAATGTAAGGCGTTGGAATTTCCTGGAGTGAAGGTAAAGAAGACTTTAGTTAGCCAAGCCTTGGGATAGCTGTTGTTTCAGTTGAGAGATATGGTCCCTCTTTTGAGATAAAGTTAGAGATAAAAACCATCTACAGTCTAATTCTCAAGGGCTGTGTGGTACAAATAAGGTAGGCCTCTGTTGGGTTGAAGGTAAGGCGTTGGAATTTCCTAGAGTGAAAGGTAAAGAAGACTTTAGTTAGCCAAGCCTTGGGATAGCTGTTGTTTCAGTTGAGAGAAAGCTGAGTTGTTAGCCTTGAGCTAGAGTTACTTAAGGATAACCCACTGTTTGGGATCTTGGTTTAAAACATTAGGGTCTTCAGGCACAGTTTTAAGAGTTAGTCTAGCATTGCCTATTTCCTCTGCTCATTTCAGAAATGAATAGCACAGTGTTGCTTTAGTTCAGCCTCCTTTTCCTTTCTTTTTGGGTGTGAATAAGTCCATAGCTTATTTCCTTTAATGGTGAATAATTCTGGTTTAGCATTCACTTAACTGACTCAGTTTGGTATTCTTGAGTTTACACAAGAATGGTGACTCTCACAATGACCTTAGCCCATCTTTTCCTAGGTCTTTCTGAGTTTGAATGGTTTTATTCCAGACTATCATGCCAAGGTTTTCTTAGCATTAAGCAGCATTATGCTTGGTCCATCCTCATGATCCAACTGGCAACTTAGAATGGGTCCCCTCCAAGTTTTTTCCTTAAATAGATTTCTAGTCCTTCAAGTAATTTGGGGGGTAGTGGTTTGAAGTAGAATTTTAGGAAGGCACCAATCGTGTTCTTATCAAAATAACAAAGTGTTAGGATCTTGTAAACAAGGGTTCACTTCATCTTTTCGTCTTTTTTTTTTTAGTTGGCTCGGATGTATACGATATCAAGGTGGCCTTGGTGAATCGTTTTGAGTTGTTTAGGAAAATAATCTCATGCTAGATTCAGTTTTCTTTCTGAGATTGTTTATGTTTACATAACTCCATATTGGCTTATGTCTCTCGGTTTTAGTTTTGAGTTTGTTTCATTGCTTGTATCTGAATAATCCCATGGCAACATCAATCTCCCCTCATTTGTGAGTTTTCTGAAGTAGAGATGATTCCAGGTTATCTTTAATTTAGCATTTAGCTTGTTTATGTATGAGAACTAGGTAGCCTTAATTCAGTGTTGCTGGATTGCCCAAATAGGAATATTCTCTTCTGATTTCAGTTTTATCATTTCTGGGTTGTTCATGGTGAATTTGCATTGATCTACTTTATGCTAGCTGAGTAGGATAGAGTTTTCATTATCATTTAACTTGAACTACTCTTTGGAATTTTTCAGTTATCATTGATTGAAAACTGTTTTTGTTTTCTTGCCCTACATAGAGAGGTAGCTTTGCATTGTTGGACATTTTAGTTTTTGGAACTTGATTAGCACTAAGTATAAGGCCTGAACTCAAGTTGGACTAATTATAATAGGATCCCTGAAGAAGAATCTGAATCTGATTACCTTGCTGAAATCATATTTTATAAAACAGGGTAGAGAAGGCTAGTGCAAGCTGGTTATTTATTTGTCAAAACAAAAAACTTTTCTAACCTATTGCTACTGCTTTAATTTTTCGTGTTCATTGGGTGAGTGTAAACAATAGGATAAGTTCATGAGTCTCAAATTTTGGAATCTCACTAACGGGTTGTCGAAGCCCTCAAAATTAGTACTAGTCCCACAATAAAATATTTGCAGTAAAAGTGGTACTAGGTCGAATCCTACAGGGAGCAAATCAGTAATCTCTTAGCTGAATGGATAAAGTAATTGAGTGGGAAAATTTAATAACTAAAATTAAAAGAATAAGAAAGCAATAACAAACTA